AGTGTGCACGGTGAGTCTTGGAAATTAAACCATGTCAACAGTGCACATCTTTTAGAGCACGCGGCGGCTCCTGTCTGCTCAAATAACAAAGAAATGCACCATGTCTGAAATCCAGCAGAATAGATGCTTGGACTGAGATGTGCTGCACTCAAAAATCCACTCTGACATTTTGGGAGACTTTAACTCGTGGTAAACATTTCAGTAGACATATACTGCAAAAAAAGAGAATAGCATGCCAAATTGTTTTCTCAAATCACAATTTAAAAAAAAAAGGTCTAATCTCCACTTGGTGTCTATATTAAATCATCATCCCATATCTACTTGGTCCAAGGGAGTGTCACAATGAAACACATAGGGAGTTAAGCAGCATTATAAAATAGCCATTTTAAAATGTTACAGTGATCCAGTCAAACCTACCAAAAAAACAAATAAATAAAACAATCTCATGGCTTTCTGTAATAGGTTATTTAAATTCCAGTCTACTTATCCCACGCCCTCCAAATCCCTCAGTTGTTAATGCAATATCTCTCTGATACGTCCCAAGTACACTACTGAAAACTGGCAGTTCAAAAGTAGAAGGTGAACAAAGTGGAGCATTTAGCAGTTGAAGAGTCAGTTACCTTTTTCAGGTGCTGGAAGACCAAATTAGGACTAAAACCAAAATTAATAATGGATTTGGTCACTAAAGACTTGCACTAGGATGACAATCTTTAAATATTCTTTGTGAAGTCAGCTGGGATAGGCTTCAGCACCCCCCGCGACCCTGAAAAGGATAAGCAGAAGCAGATGCATGGATGGATGGATGGATATGAAAGTCTATAATAACATAATGGCCATGACAAATTTACATTGCGGTTGTATGTGGCGAGTGTCTCATCATCCTATGCTGTTTCCCCACTGGCAAAGGAAAGGGAGGAACTGACATCAAATGTCTAATATTTTGGTTTGATATTACCTACACACACAGACGTCTTATACTGCATTTAAAGCAAACCCATATACACAACACTTCAATCACATAATGAAACCACTGGTATAAACTTAAGCTGTAATGTGTATTTCAGCTATTTTAAAACTTTGCAGATTTGGCAATACTAATCCGCCGTATCACTTACTAATTATGCTTACTTACATGTGCCTGTTACCAGTCTACAGTCTATTTGGCAGGGACGAGTGTGGGAGCTATGGCAGGTAATATTAACATCACCAGTGTCAGTCACATCATTCGGCCACGCAGAGTTTCAAAAACAACTGCGCTGAGGTTAAGCAGAAAGTTAGCCACACAACGAAACCTATTTCATTACTTTATGTTGTAACCCTAGGCTGGCAGAAAGTAGGAAGCACGGCATCACCTCCGTTGCTGACGATAACTAAAACCTAAAGATAAACTAATTACCTGCAACAAGGGCAGGCACACTAGTTTGTCCCGTATCTGTCATGCTAAAGTGTGACTAACATCACACGGATCACAAGCTGCACGAAAGCTATATACAGCGTAAGAAGCATGAAGTTTCTTATGCTGGCCTGTTAGCTTGCAAGGCTATGCTGACAGAAGCCAGGTGTAGTTACCGCAGGTGGTGACTTCCTGGAGTCATACACCTTGATAGCATTAGCGTAGCATACCCTCCACGTACACTTTTCCAGGCAGGTGAGACGTAATAACTTACCATTCTGTGGGGTTTTTAACGTTTGTGTCACGTGACAAACGGACTCTACTCCCTCGTTGCCCACTCAGACGTACACCCGAACTAATGCCGAAAGTTCATTCCCGTGTGAGGTGCTCAACTACTGCGCTTGTAATAAGCGCAAACCCTTCCCCGACCGTTGCTTCTGCCAAAGCACTTCCACATCCGAGGAGCATGCGCACTCCGGCACGTCTAACGTGACGTTTATGATTTCGTCTCACTTCCGGAGGGTTCGAATGATCTTAAAGTGTATGAAGTGTAGTGTTACATCCTCACCGTGTGTAACTGCGGACACTGAGTCCCTGGTAAAGAAAAAAAGAGAGTCTCCGTAGCGGTAGGATTTTCCATCATCATCATTCATTAAACACCGAAAAACCAGGTTTCTCTTCAGCATTGTAGCCACGCTCACAAAAAGTCAGAGCTCTGCTGAGTCAAGCATTCCTTTAACTTCATTGATTAAAAAATAAATAAATGAAATTTTATCTATTGAAGAACAAATACTCAAAGCCATAGACACATCATTATTTTAAGCTACTTTAAATGTCATTTATATTTATTTAGACTCTTTCACTTCAACTAATCTGAATCTGAAATAACTTTAGTAATCGCTTCCTCCAGGTCATCAACCTCATTACCCATTAGACCTCATTACCCATTAGACCTCATTACCCAACTGCTCAAACTATTACAATTAGTAAATGCTTTAATCTTAAATATGATCATCTATCTCTATTAATAGGCTAGGTGCAATTAAGGTGGCAATCATTAAACTATTACTTAAAAAGCAGTAACTTGACCCAGCTGTCTTATGTAATTATTGACCACTCTCCAGCATTCCTTTTATCTCAAAAATTCTTGAAAGAGTTAAACAGCTAACCGATCATCTGCAGAGGAATGAAAAGAGTTTCAGTCAGGTTTCAGAGTTCATCACAGCACAGAAACAGCTTTAGTGAAGGTTACAGATCCTTTCCTCTGGCCTCTGACAGTGAACTCATCTCTGTGCTTGTTCTGCAAGACCTCAGTCCATCGTTGATACTGTTGACCACAGTATTTTATTACAGAGATTAG